AGAGAGAGGGAGAGAGAGAGAGAGAGAGAGAGAGAGAGAGAGAGAGAGAGAGAGAGTCCCATTGATTGGGCACTCCTACCAGCTCCTTCTTCACCACAGCCTTAGATGATATGGCCATTACAATAAGAGGAATATTTTTATTATAAAAGCAATACATTCCTAGTACTCTGGGAGGCTGAGGCAGGAGGATGGCAAGCTTGAGCCCAGCTGGAGCAACTTAGCAAGACCCTGTCTGAAAATAAATGGGGTGGGGGCCTGGGGATGTAAGTTAGTGCAACAGTCCTGGTCTTAATTCTCAGGATTGCAAAAAAAAAAAAATCGTAATAAATGCTCGTTAAAGGTCATTTAGAAGTTAAAAAGGAGAAAAAAGAAAAACATTTTTGGTAACCTACTACAGGAATACAATCATTGCTTACACTTGGGTGTATGTCTTATAGGTCATTTTCTCTATGCCTCAAGATTTTCTTTTCTTTTTTAAATTAATAATTGGAATCTCATTCTATATAAAATTATAGTCTTCATTTATACCTTTATTTTCTCATTGTTCTAAAGAAGAAAGTCATCGAGGAGGCATGGCATGGTGGTTGAAAATACTAACTTTGAAGTCAGGTGGAGGGGGGTACAAGCTGTGAACTCTCCCTGGGAGAGGCCTTTTGACTGTGGGTCCATTCTGGGTCTGCTCCCAGGTCCTTCAGTGGCCCCTACCCTGATCGTAAATCTGGCAGTGACTGGCCATGTGGCCCTAAAAATGTTGATAAAATGTCCAAAGTCTCAGTTTGCTTGCCTGTAAAATGGGGTCAACAATACCACAAGGGTCTGGCAAAATGCATATTCAATAAGTTATAGATTCTCTCATTATCATCTCTATGATTCAAAGAACTGGATGAAGTACCATATCCAGTGGTTGTGCCATTTCACAACTAATGAACAACTCCTTCCCCAAGGGACACTGAAGATGATGTATTTTCCCTGCATCATCACTGGTAACTATCATCTTAAGAGGCTTAGACATTTTTCCATAACTTGCATAATAAGTACATGGTTTATAGGATGTTGCAAGTGTCACTGTGAATGCATACTTTAGAGCAGGGTCCTTGAGAACGAACGGGTCTGGACTGTTCTCTCCCCTACCTCCCAAATCCCAAACAGAGTAGGGGTGATGTCATATCCTGGAGTAGTATTTTCCAAGATCAGTTTTTCACTGATTTGTTCAATCATTCAACACTGTTTAGATACCTAGTATATTCTAAGGAGACAAGTCCCCTGCACACTCAGACTCACAGTCAACAATTGTAACAGTGAGATTGGGAGAATGACTAAGGTCTACACCACTTGTCATAGAACCACAAAATTCAGCCTGGACAAGAGAAGTAGGACAAGCGATGCTTCTTGGTAGAGGGAAAAATGGAGCAGAGTCCTGAAGAACAAACGGGACTTCTCAAAGGGCCTGGACCTACTAAAGCAGGAGCCTACACAAAGGCAGACATAAGACAGAAGACTTAGGGAACTACAGGTTCAGTGCGGGCCCCAGGGCAGACTGTGATGGAGGGAGTGAGGAGGGGTAAGACTCAGAGGTATTCCCCGGGCTGAGTCACACAAGACCAGAAGAACCATGTGAGGGCTTTGGGTTTCACCCTGTGCAGCAGGGTCATGAGCTCAAATGCCTCTGATCTTGGGCAAGTAATGGGAAACAGTGATGTGACCAGGGTCTAAAATACACTACGCTGTGCTAGCCACTGGCAAACCAGAAAACCCATATGCCTTCTGAAGAGGGCAACTATAACTCAGCTCCACCAACCACTGCCTTATAAGGGTGCTGGCAGAGAGGTGCCAGCTTCTTATGACTTTGCAAGAAAAACTAGAAATATTAACCTTTACATGGAATTTCCTGATTTTAAATGTTGGCAACTAATTCAACATGTTTTAAGAATGTTCAATAAATCCAACAAAATAACAATTTCTGGATGAATTTCAAGCTATGGGTGGCCAGCTTTGGGCTCTGCTGTACAACTACTCAAGCCAGTCGGGAATTTTGGGTAGGAAAGTGCCAGGATCATATGTGTACTGGCGAAGAGTCACCTGGATCAGTATGTGGGACACAATCTAGAGCATAGTAAGTTGACAGCAAGACTCACTGGGAGACTACTGTGGGAACCTGGAGAGAGATCAGGAGCTCAGGAAGGAAGAGTGGAGGAAGAAACCAGCAGGACACAGTAGAAGACTGGACACCGGGGGCTAAGCAAGAGGAACGATTGAAGAACACTCCCAGGGTTCTAGCTTGGGCATCTCTGGGTTGATGATAGCATTTATTGTGATGGACAAGAGAGGAAAAGGCAGACTGAAGTACAGAACAGGGAAATAATGAGATCCATTTTTAACATGCTGAAATTGAGGTGTCTGTGGACATCCATGCGGAAATGTCGTGCTGGGAGCTGGATGAACTGTAGGAGACAGAGTGTGATGAGTGCGTGTGAGGGTCCCAGAACCCAGCAGGTGAGGTTTTCAAATCCTGGCTCCGTCATTACCAACTTCAGGGGCTTGGGCAAATCTCAGTAACTCTTGATCTCAGTTTTCTTCATCTGAAAAATGGAATGGCATTGCCTAATTCATAAGTTTGTTGGATGAGATAATGTCATAGTTATTGTACCATACCTGGGATTTAACAAATGCTGATTATTATTATTAACATTATTAACATTATGAGTTCTCAGTGAGAAGGATGGGATGAGCATCCAGAAGTAGGTGGCATCAGCACATGGTAGTAAATGAAGCCCTGGAAGCCTATGTACACTAAGAGGAAAGCCAGAGGTGGAACACCATGTGAGAAGAGGAAGGAGATGGGGTGAGTGAAACCAGGGGAACAAGATGCAGGCTCATGACACATCTGAGTCAGAAGGCCCTCTGAGGAACAGATCTCATCCTTCTGTTTTACAGATGGAGAAACTGAGATTTGAAGATGGGCAGTGTGTCACAGCCAGTGTCAGGACAGCACGGCACTGGAGAAACATTCTCAGACACTGCTGAGAAACTCACTGCTCAGTGCTCCAGTGGCTACTTGTCTAGACTTCTAGCACACCATGTTGGACTGTCCTTTCCTTGGCAGACTCCCCATCTAGACAAAGCGCTGCACAGCTGAGACCCTGTTTCACGGTCTTTGTATTCCTATTGTCTGGCACAGAGCCTGGTTTGTGAACGTGCACTGAGCGACACACTTAGGGTGTGTGCGCACCTGCCTGTCTGTGGAGAGTGTGCAAGTGGGCACGCTGTTGTCACCCTGGCTGCTGAGAACACAAAGGCGAGAGGGGTCTGGAAGATGATTGGTGCTCAGGTTGTCACACAGCTGGAGCCATGGGCGTCCCTTCTCTCAAGCCTCTGCTCAGCTCCCCCTAGTGTCCTTTGGGCAGCAGTAACAGGCTTCCCATGCAAGTGGTGGCTGCAGGGAGACTTGAGTGTGTGTGGTGAGAGGAGTGTCCTCAGCAGGAGACAGCTGGCGAGAACTGTGTCTGGGGCTTGAGCTCCAGGCTGGTTGTCCCACGCAGTGCTCCTTCCCGGCCTCATTGCAGCCCCTGTCCCTGTCCCTGTCATGCTCTGTGCTATAGGAGAAAGGAACATTCAGATACTAACAGGGGACACATTTCTCAGTGATTTTGCCGCCCTGCCTGCAAAGCCCCTCTTCAGCATCATTGCTTCTGTGTTACATCATCGGCCCCACACCAGACTGGGAGTTTACTGAGAGAGGGGCTGATTCTGAATCACTTCTTCACCTCCAACACTGGACATACAGTAGGCACTCAAAAAGAATCAGTGTAGGTAACTGAATGGCACAGGCTTTCTGGAGAATCATAAAAGTATAACCTTGTGGCTCAATACCCTTTGGGGACCATCATCAAATACCTCAAAAAACCAACAAACTGCCCTTATTTGAACAAATCTATTTACAACTGCACTATCATATTGAAAAACAAACCAAGTGGGGAGATAAATAAACTATGGTATCTTAATGTTGTACAACATTGTCCTTCAAAAGACAACGACAAACTATGTACCTGTGTGGAGAAAGCAGTCTATGGCTAGTAATGGCAAGTGTAAAAGACAGAACATCAAGCGGGGCCAAAAGTGTGAAAATATAACTTAGTAGCTTAATAACAAAGGCTTTGGGGTCAGACAGCTTTGGGTTTGGATCCTGCTCTGCCATTACCTATAGGGGTGATCTTGAGCAAATCATACTGCCTCTCTAAATCTATTTTCCTGTATGTGGACTGGAAGTAGCACCCACCTCTCAGGGATGATTAAGTAGAATTAAAAAAAAAATATATATATATATAAAATCAGTTGGGCTGGCACAGAGATGGAAGCTGCTATTTTTAACATGGTGACTAAAGCCATCCAAAATCTAATAAAGACAAGAAGAGGACGGGTGATCTTATGAAGAGGTGACCTTCTCTATGAAGAGCGCTTTGACTGTGGTTTCCACTGCCCTATCACTTCTGTTGATCTTTCTACTGCAAAGAAGATCAAATGTTCCATTTCTTTGAAAAAGAAAGAAAAAGAAAAAAAATCCTGTGCACAAAAGACC